CAGATTTTAGATAGAGGGCTAGAAGCACCGTGATTCAGTATCTTGAAATGATAGTGGTGTTATCAGTGGCATATCTTACAGACTATGGTTCTCAGGTACAAAGGTCTAGTTAAGAGAGTAAAGAAGAGTTAGAGACGTGTGATGTCTCACTTGAGGTTCTAGAATAACATAAGGAAATCTATAGTGCTAGCAAGTTAAAGGGAGGTTATGAGTAGTATAAATAGATATGTGTAGGTCAAAAGCGAAAGTATGGTAAAGCGAAAAGGTTTTAGGTAAGTAAAAGTAAGGATAAGAAAAGGTGAGTGAGAAGATGACGAGAATAGGTAAGTCCTTGTGATTAAACTCATCACAACAAAAGAGCTGATGGTTTTCATAAGTTATAAAAAGCTTAGTATGGCCTGAATGAACTCAGAGGAGTTTAAGACTAGGGGCATTTAGAAAAGATGGAATGTTGACCTGGTAGTAGAATGAGCGTGAAGTTGTGATAAATGATAAGAGAATAACGTTTAGGCCTTTGATTGAGTAATGATTTAAAGAGAATGGATTTCATGAATTGCACGGGATTGGAATACCCCCATAAGATGAATCATGTTGTGATGCTATGAAATATGGTTATTGAAGTATAGTATCGTCCCTAAGTGGATCAAGCAAATCACATAAGATGTTCCTCGATGAGACGTGAGCCTTAGTGACAATGTATTACATAAGAGGTTTCAAGTTATGAGTGGTAGGTTAAGATCAACATTAAGCTGAATCAACGATGGATGGATAAAAGTTAAAAAAATATGAGAGGAGATTAGGTTTTCATTCTTAAGATGAACAATAATGAGGAAGTATTAAAGGACTAAGATTTATACATATAGGATAAGCTATGAGAGAGTAACCTAGAGTTGGGTAGTAAGCCTCGGTAATAACAAACTTAAGTAAGTGTTATGGTATAGTATGACCTACCTAGATGCAGTAAAACAATAAGGATAGATAACTGAGGCTACGAAACAAAAGATAGCAATAGTCATAAGTTCGACAAAGTACCACGTGAAGGACTTCAGCACACCTACAGATGCCTAGAGGGACAGCTTGCTATAGTTCTGTATATATTCACAAAGTGGGCCTAGAGATTGGCTAAAAGCTGGAGGAAATATGGGAGAAGAGTTTCATAGGTGCCCGTACAAGGCAGAGTCGTACAGACTGCATGATAGAAGGTAGAATTAATTAAGAGATCGGAAGAATTCCGACCACAGGTCGTGGTGTGAGAAAGAGGCCTAAAGGAGGGAATTCCCTGGCCTTTGGATTTGTTCATAAAGCAGTAGCCTAGAGGGCAATGACAGTATTAAGATATTCATAAAAACTATAAGTTATGAGAATGATAAGCGCATCAGTCAACATTCAAGAACGAATTCTCCAAAGGGGGGAATGATGTTACACCCCATGTTTTCGTACGTGAGAGTACGTCGTAAGTCAATTGATGTAAGATCACAAATGAGATCATCTTTTAAAGAACCTAAAGTAATTTAATCATGTTACCATAGATGTTACAAATATTTAAGATCATGGATAACAAGTACCAAGATGGTTGAAAGACTTAGAAGCTAAATAAATTAAAGAAAACAAGTTTCGTCAAATGTCGACAAGTTGGGAATGTTATAACATATACTTTTGAGGTGATATTAGGTTGCTTAACATGATAAGGACATTAAATTATAATTTATTTTAGTCATACGATAGTTGTGTATTACATTTTTAATGCAAGTGAGTTGTGGAATAAAAGTTGGCAAAGGTCATCACAAGTTACATTCATATAAATATGCTGAATATTAGGTCAAATATAGCTGAGCATTTCTCCCAATGTATAAGGAATTACGGGATGATCTACCTACCAAATGGAATATATATGAGCCTAGTTTCAAACAAATTAAACCGTTCATTGATACAATATTGGAGTAGAGAGATATTCATATTTGTGCGAGACTGCGCAGACTAGTAGGTGACAAGTAGGTGCATCACCTACTTGCCAAAAGGAGAGGCCTCAACTAAAAGCTCCAAAGTCAGCCATGAGGGGACTTTTAAGGTATTATCAACTAAATTATTTTATCCATCTTTCAGACCAATAAAACCATATTGAACCCCTGCAATCCCTCCCCAAAAATTCCACATAAACCCTAGGGTATTTCGGGTGTTACGATGTGATTCTAGTGCCGAAAAACACGGACAACTTACTAGTTTCCCTTTATCCTTCTTGTAGCTGCATTGGAGGACTATTGTTGATGAAGAAGGGCTAGGTTTTGTGTGTTCTACTCAGTTCAAGGTAAATTTATGCTTCTCCTTCCATTATTTATGCTTGTACTAGTTATAACTCGATCGTAAAGACTAGACCTAGCGAGTTTCAAAAGAGTGGTATGTTGTTTGTTGTTGTGTCATTGTTGGCTAGTTGTAAACTTATTTTTAAGTTGAATTAATGGCTGATTTATTGTATAAGAGGCTTAATTATGTATTGTTGGTTGTGTTGCTCAGTTTGAAAGAAAAGAAAAGGCGAAACATGATTTAGTAAACTGAAAAATCAATTTTGAGTTGCTGAACTTGTGGGACTGTTTTGTGAGTTCTTTCGTATTAATGTTGGGTTGTTTCTTTTGCTACTGTTTTATGGAGTTTGGGAGGAGAAAGGGTGTGGATAAACTCCACATAATGGCAGGGCGGTTTGCTGGTCATTCCTCGTAACATTTTCGGATTATTTGACATTATTATGGTTGTCGTTTTGTGTATGAAGTGATATGGGTATGTTATGTTGTTTTGTTGTATTTTCTGATGGATATAAGGTTGAAAAATGATGTATATATATTTTTACTTTTGTGTTCATGTTGTTGTTGGTGTTATGTTGAATTGGGAGGAAGTAAAGATTATAGGGGAGATGCTTCCTATTTTATTATAAAATAAGCATGTCGTTCGTTGTGCGATAGTTGTACCTTCCATAACTTGATGATAGTATTGTTATATTGTTATAATTATTGTAGATTAAGGTGCAACGAGACAAGTTTAATGTGGTTATTGGAAAGATTGTGATAAGGTATGTTAAGGCTAAACTTTTCCTTCATTTTGGCATGATCCAGTAACTACATGTGTTTGATAACGAGACATAAAGAGAAGTTCATATTCCTGAATTTATGTACATTTTTCTAGTCTCATAAGTTACAACAGCATTCTCCCTTATCGGGACTTCATATTCAATTTAGTTTTGTCTTTTTTTAGTCAAGAGAGCAGAAAGTATATATATATATATATATATATATATATATAGTATTATAGTATTTTCACCACCATCGAGCTATAATCGATGGGCAGGCCCCTATTGGGAAACCTCTGATCAGATGGTAAGTTATATACCTAGCCTACTATGTCGAGCGCCTATGAGAAAGCCCAGAATGGCCGAGATACAGAGCCTAGTATGTCCGAGCGCCTATGAGCGAGCCTACTACGGCAGAGCAGTTACACATACCGAGCCTTATAGGGTCGGACAACTTTTTTACATACTATATGGAGAGAGTTGAGTCAGTATCAGCAGGTAAGCATATCTTCAGATTATCTTTGACTCTCAGTTACATTCAGTTATTAAATCATCAGTTTAGTTTTAGCTTTCAGTTATTATGTTGCCTTACATACTCAGTATATTATTTCGTATTGATGTCCCTTTGCTAGGGACGCTGCATTTCATGCATGCAGGTCCTAATAGACAGCTGGATAGACCTTCCCAATAGACAGAGCCAAAAAATAGCTTGGTTGGTAAGCTCCACTTCCACGGAGTTACCAGGTCTAGTGCTTGGAGTCCATTTTATATATACAGGTTTAATGGGTAGGTCGAGACCCTGTATCGACCATGATACAGTTCAACTATATTTAGAGGTTTGTAGACAAGTCCTGTATAGTTTGTATATCAGTATATGTTCATGGTGTCCTCGTCACCCTGCACATTTATATATATACATACATATATATATACACACATATATATGTATATACAAATACACACAGATATATATATATATATATATATATACATATTTAAATATATACGAGCTTTTGGGTATGTTTACCCATCAGATAAGAGAGACGATATTTCAGATGATTTAGAATATGGCTTCATCGGCCTAGGTTGAGGGTTACCCCTCAAGAGTTTACAGTTACAGAGTGGTACGCTTGGGCTGATTATGGCACTGAGTGCTGGCCATGCCTCTTCAGGTTTGGGGCATGACACGTTCAAAGGAGTCCAAACCGCATTAAAACTACCTAGATTCTAGGGATAGTTTTGAACGTTTTTTTCAAACTGAATTGCAGTTTGATTAGACTTCTACAAAGCTGTTGGTACTCAATTGAACTCCACTACTTTATAATGATGAGGAGTTACTTGTTTCTATACTTCTAAACCTTCAAGCCGTCCAAATTCTCTCAAACTTCTCTCCTCTTCTAGTCTTACAAAAACTTACTCTCTTTCATACCCTAGCCCAGATATGGCGAACACCTCTGAAAACCCTTCATCACCACCACAAGAAACCACTTCCACACCCACTATCACTCCTTTTAAAACCCCAACCTCTAAGAAAAGAGTAAAAATGATGGCTAGCAAGATTGTTGCTGCTGGAGAGCAGATTCAGAAAATTAATGAACAACTGAAAGCGAGTAGGGAGGAAGAATCTCAAAAATCTGATGAATATTTCAAATCTACTATTGAGGGGGAAGAAATTGTTTCTTATAAAACTGAACATGTATCATCTGGCCTTAAAGTCACTCCTGAAACTATTTCTGAGGCTGCTACAAATTTGGAGAGTAGGTTTGTGCTGGTAGGATCTATAGCAGGTGATGAATCTACAAAGTTAGGATAGGTTGGTGGTAAAAATTAAAAAGGAAAAGAAAAGGAGAGTGAGGGTGCTCGGAGTACTGTAAGGGAAAAAGGTAAAAGAGTGGTTCATTCTTGACCCACTCTTGTTAGTCTAACAAAAGAAATAGGTGCAATGGCTGTTTGGGAAGAGGAATCTGCTGGAATAGAGGAGAGTGTGAGCAAAATAGGGGGAAGTGGGTCTAGCGAAGCTGCTGAAGGGTTGGTTCAACTCGGGAAAAATATAGATGAACATGTTCCATCTGAACAGAAAACCCTCGCAGACCTACTGAAAAAGGTGACTAAGAGTTCTAACCCAAAGAAGAAGGGAAGTTCAAAGGCTAAAACCCTTGGCACTGCTAGGGCAAACAAGAAAAGGAAGGCTGCCCCATCTGTTACTGTGGAAATTCCTCCCACAAGAGGTAGAGCCACAAAAAGCCAGAAAAAGCAGAATGAGGCAGAACTGGAGAAAGCCTTGGAAGAAAGCAGAAGAAAAGTAGTTGCTAAGGGAAAGAAGAAAATGAGTGAGCCTGTTGAGGCTGTTGATATTGATAAGATGGACCTAGTCCTTCATGAGGATGAGACTGAAGAAGTGGAGGTTCTGACTCCCAAGCCCAAGATAGCCAAGACTTCCACTAAAAAGTCAAAGTCTGTTGAACCATCCACCTTGGCAAAAAGAACAAGGTCTGATGTAAAGTCAAAACAAATGAAATTGGTTGAGGAAGAAGAATGGAGTGGAGAGGAAGAAGATCATTCTGATGCTGGGAAAGATAAGATGGCCAAGTTTGGCAAGAGGACAATTTTGAAGGGCAGACTCCTCAGGGATTGGGTGAGGAAGGGATGGTGCTGCTCTTGGAAAAGTTAGAGTTGCAAGGCTGGAAGGACATGGTCCTTCAGATGGATAGGAGGTTGGATAGGAATGAAATTGTTAAGTTTATGGACAATGGTAAGGTGAAAGATGGAAGGGTCACCAGTATGGTTAAAGGAGTGAAAGTCTCCTTTGATGTGAAGGAGTTTGGAGAAATCCTAGGTGTACCTGTTGAGGGGTACAATGACTATAACAATCTCAAGTGGTCAAGCCTAGAAAATCTTCTTACTGCCCTTGTCATTACCAGAAAACTCGGCAATAATAAGGAGGAAATTGAGCCTAAGGTTGTGTACAAGAGTGAGATAACACCACTCCACAAAGTGTTATTTGAATTCGTCAACAAATGCGTTATGCCAAGGCAGGAAAGGAGGCACATTGCAACCTTCATGGACTTGGTCCTCATGGAGTGTTTGAATAGTGGGAGGCAGATTAATTGGCCTGGATTTATAATCTAGCTTCTTGATAGGGTAATAAATGGCACCAAGACTCATGTCATTCCCTATGGCTTCATTCTCACGATTGTGCTAGCACATTTCAACGTACCTATGAAGAAGTGGGAGGTTCGTACAAGCAAGGATCATTTTGGGGCAAATACTCTGCTTGCTTGTGAATATGAAGTCCATGCCTGTCCTAAAGAACCTGGTTCATCCAAGAAGGTACCAGTGAATAGTAAGGTGTGAGCCTTGGTGCAAGAAAGTGGGATTGAGGATGCTGAGATTGAGATGCTAAAGAAGATGTTGGTTGAGGTGGAGATCTAGAGAGATGCTCTCAGAACTGAGTTGGCAAGAGAAAAGGAGAAGAATGGTGGCATTCTTCAGGATATGCTGAAACTCTTCCAAGCCAAAAACCAAGCACCTGGTCCTTCCTAGCCTTAAGCCTCCTAGCCTAGTGTAGATTAACCAGTGACCAAGATCGGAATATTTTTGTGTTTTTGCTCATATTTTCAGTATTTTTATTTCTGTCACGACCCAAACCGATGGACCGCGACGGGAACCCGGTACCTTATTCAACCGAGTACCAACATAACGTATCTTTTCATGTTATACTATCATAGATAACTGAGCCGGAAGGCAACCATGAGATAAGTAGAATATAACATGTGATACCAACTTATACATAAAACATACGGGCTTATAAGACCACAATAAACACTCGTATAATGAATATAGGTTGACAAGGCCATATAATCTTTTACACACACGACATCTGTCTACAAGCCTCTAAGAATACATAATTTTCATAAAGGTCGGGATAGAGTCCCACCATACCAAACAATAGACGTCTAAATCATACTAATCAAACAAGCAACTCCGAAGCAAATGGAGCGCACCAACATCTTTCACTGAGCTGATAGCCTACTTGGAGGGCTCTCGACCTGTCTATCGGGACCTACGGGCATGAAACGCAACATCCCCAAGCAAAAGGGACGTTAGTAAAAATAATGTACCGAGTATGTTAGGCACATAAATAAGTACATAACAGACATGGAAGAAATATAGAATAAATGACTCAACCTGTAAGTTTGGAAAACTCTGTAATTCATGAAATAATTATAGTGTCATGCATATGCGTATGACAATGTCATGTTGTGCATAGGTACATATTTCATAACATCATCAGGCCTCTAAAGGCATCCCATTATATCATCTCGGCCACTGTGGGCAAAACCATCAACGTATACCAGTAGATCAGGTGGTGGTACGCATATAACGCCGTAACCTTTTCCCATATATATATATATATAACACCATCTGGTCGTGGGTCAATGTACATGTAAATGAATGTAATTCATGAGAAGTACGTTAATAAAATCTTTCGGAACGTCATAAGATCATTATGCCTCTGATTAATATCATGAAATAAACTTTGTCAACTTACATATTTTCTGAGACCCATGAACAGATGATAGAATAATATGACAAATGGGGAATCAAGAACATAGTAACCTCTAGTATTTCTATGAATAAATTGACCTATGGAAGTTATGCATTTACTCGTTTCATTTGTATTGTATGGATCATTCCAAAAGAAAGAAAGGATAGTCTTAACATACCTGGAGTAGGGAAAAAATTCATATAATATTCTTGGAAAGATTGCACCGTACTCCTTTAGAACCGCAAAATTTTACGTTGCTACGGTTCTAACAATTCTTGTTGGAATTGTTTGATTGCAAGAATTTTGTTGGAAGCTTTTTTTGGATGGAGTTTTAGCGTCAGAATTTGCAAACAGATTTGAGTTTCAGTAGAGATTTCACAAGCAATCTTGAGAATATTTCCATGATTATATCTTCTCGAAATTAATCAAAATTTGAGAAATATCCCTCCATTTTGCTAGCTGCTTAAAAGTAAACTATAAAAATGTTTCTTTTCTTGGTTGGAAAATGAATTGTCTTTACACGTTAATGGTATTGTTACCTTAGATAGCCACCTAAGCCAAAAATGACTAAGAGTCATTCTTTTAATATGTGGCTTGCTGCCACATTTCTTATCTTATGATTTTATTAATTAATTAGGTAATGTCTCGTTACCCAATAATTAATCAATTACCCACATAATTAAGAATTGTCTCAAATTACTTAAAATACTAGTCCTTGTTAATACACTTTATACATCATATTGACATGGTCATATGGTACCTTGTATGGTACTAGTCCATAAATATCGGGTATTAACGCTCGGCCGTATTTATCCCAACATGCCAAACTTGGACGAAAATTCATTTTCTTTGACTTGCTTCCCCTCTCACCTTCACGAACTTAATCATCACTTGTTTGAAATAGCATAATCCTTATAATCTCCAGATAATCTTTTCCTTGGACTGATGTCAATTACCTTACGACAAATTCAACGTACAATACTACAGGGTGCAACATAGTCATAATTTAATACTGCAAAGCGTAACATCATCGTAATGTAATACTTCAAGGCGTAACATTTTTGTAATATTGCGGAGCGTAACATCATTCCCCTCTTTGGAACATTCGTCCTCGAATGTTGACTGATGCTTTTATCATTTTCATAACTTATAGCTCTTGTGAATACCTTAATACTCTCTTTACCATTTAGGCCTCTTTCCCACACCATGACTTGTGATCGAATTCCTTCCAATCTCATAACTGTTGCTACCTTCTATCATGCAGCCTCTATGATACTGACCTTGTAAGTGTGCCATGCGACTCTTCTCTCCTTTTTCCTCTAGTTTTTAGCCAATCTCTAGGCCTTACTTTGTAAACATATACAAGGCTTAATAGGATGCCTCTCTGGGCATCTATAGGTGTACTGAAGTTCTTCGCTCGGTACTTTATAGAACTTGCGAATATGGCTATATCTTATTTCATAGACTTGGTTATCCCTTCGTATGACTTTACTGCATCTACGTAGGTCATACTATACCATAATTCTTACTTCAATTTATCGTTACTGAGGTATGCTACCAAACTCCCGGTTACTTTTGTTGCTTATCCTTTAGGTATAAATCTCAGTCCTTTAATGCTCCTTTATTACCGTTCATCTTAAGAATGATGGCCTAATCTCATGTCATACTTTGTAACTTGTATCTTTCCATTGTTGATTCACCTCAATATTGATCTACAATCCACCACTTGAAGACTTGAAACTTCTTACGTAATACATTGCCGCTAGAGCTTAAGTTGTATTGAGGAATATTTGAAGTGATTTCCATAATCGTATTTTATAGTATCTCAATGTGATTTATCTTGTGGGGGGTATCCTAATCTTGTGCCATCTGCGAAATCTTTTCTCCTTTTTTTTCCTTCAAATCATTATTCAAACGAAGGCCCAAACATCATCCTTTACCTGACACAATTACACCCTTATTTTATTACCAAGTCAGCATTCCATTTCTTCTAAATGCTACTAGTCTTAGACTCCTTTGAGATCATTCAGTCTATACTGAGCTTTATATAATTTATAGAACCCATCAGCTCTCTCTCATTTTCATGGGTTTAATCCCGAGGGCTTATCCATTCTTGTCACCTTCTCACTCGCCTTTTCTTATCCTTACTCCTATCTTCCTACAACCTTGTCGCTCTACCATACTTTAGCTTGCGACCAATACATATCCATTTATACTACTCGTAGCCCTCCTTCAACTTCCTTGCACCATAGATTTCCTTATGTTATTTTGGAACATCAAGCAAAATATCACATCGTCTCTAACTCTTCTTTATTCTCTTAAATAGACCTCTTGGTACCTCGAAACCATAGGCTATAAGATATGCCATTGACGATGTCGCTATCATTCCTGGATATTGAATTCTCGCGCTTCTAGCCTTCTATCCGAAGTATGGACTACTCACAACCTTCTGCATTTGAGTATCTCATACGTTGTTCACCTTTACCTTACTTACTTTAAAGTCTCGCATCACATCTTCTATCTCCTTCATGACCTTCCTTCCATATAGGTAGAATTCACATCTACAACTTGAACTTCTATTATAATACTTGCATCTTTTTACATGATTTGTTGAGAGCTTTATACTGACTTCTTATGAGGCTGGTATTCTTCTAACTGGACCTCTGATATTAAGAGTGACTCTGCAATATTCTCAATCACTATGTCCATAATTTTCTAGGTTCAATAATCAAACTCTTTATTTACTTAGTTGATGAAACTCTTTAGTTTCCCCTTTCCTCTGGTCAACCTTTATGTAGGCTTAAGCTATCTTTCGATTTGTGGCTCATGGCGTTAGTTTTATACTTTAGCCTTTCATGGCGTTATGGAATATGCATGATACAATCCTTTAACAATTTAATCCTTCTTCTATGACCTGGGCTCAATTCTTTCTTTTAACTTATACCAGAGTCTTCTATGGCTGTATGAATGTCAACATATATGTTGCATGGATAATACTCCGAACTCTTAAGTGCGTTCATAACGTAACCAACTCTGGATCATTGTTCAAATAATTCCTTTCTTTCCATCTTAGATTTCTTTAAACGTAAGCTATTACTTTTCCTGGTCTTTCTGCCCCTTTG